ACAATATTAAATTTACAAAAATAAATTAACTTTTATTAAAAAAATTTAAATTTTATAAAGTTAAAAAAGTCATCAAAGTAAGAAAATATTTATAAATTAATACATATATTTATATATTTAAGGATTTTTTGCCTGGAAAAATTTTGTTTTATGAATATACATAGTACATATACTATATGTTAAGAAAAAAGTTTATTTGTTGAGGGAATATTTTAAATTTAAAATAAAAAACGTTTATAAGGCACCTAGGATTAAAAAGTAAGAAAATTAAAAAATATAATAAAATGAATAAATTGGTTTAATCTTTGCCTAAAATTTAACTAAAAGAATTAGGTAATTATTCTGTATTTTCATTTTGGGTCCGAAAATTTAAGAAATAGATTTTTAATTTAGGGTTGTTAACTGCCAAAATAAGTTTAAAAAATCTGAAAAAGCCAAATATTTGTCAGAATTGTCCGAAAATTTAAATTCATTTAAAATTCAGAACAAAATAATTTATTTATAATCTGAAAGTTTAACTTTGGTAATTATAATTTATGCGTAAAATCAAAAAAATAAAAGAATTTATTTATAAAATTTTTTAAGAATTAAATGCTTCGAAATGTCATATTTAAAAGGTTTAGTCTTCAAATCACAACCAAAGTTTGTTTCAAGAGACAGATATATATGATCAACATATGGTTTATATAAATCAGAGTTGTCATCTTCTAATAAGCCTTCACCTTAAGAACAGAATTATTTTATATTTGTTTGTTTTTAATATTTCCAATTAAATATTTACCAATTTGTTTCCCATTTTGTGTAAAGAAAATATAAGGAAATTCTTCATTTAATTTATTAGTTGGAGGGTAAACTAATCCACATCCAAAAATATCATTGTTGTTAAAAGGTGCTGGAAGTTTAATTCCTCCTATCTTCTCGGTTATAATCGTACCATAATTTGAAGAATAGAAATTACAACCATTTGTATTCAAATTTTTAAGACCAATAACCAAATTATTAACTTTATTTAACCCTCCTTCAAATTTACATTTAATTTCAAAATAATATAAATAATATTCAGAAAAACTTTTCAATTTTTTAAATAAATTTTCTGAATAAACAAAAACACATTTATTAGAACCTGAAAATATTTTTAGAAAAAAATCAAAAATACCAAAAATTTACCTCCTCTCCCCTTCAAATGATTAATATTTTCATCATCAATTAAATTTACAAATCCATTCCTTTTAATACCAATAGAGTTGCTTGAATTTACACATTTATTGTCATGAAATTTGTATTCACTTTCAATCTCACTCCGTTCATTTTTAAATTTAGCAAAATCCTTTAAAAATTTTAATATAATTAGAGAGCCTTCTAGACTTTCGTATCAATCACTAATACCCGGCAATAATTTAATTACGTTTTTAATTTCTTTCTCGAAAGAATTAGTTCTATCATCCTTTTGTTTTAAAGAATTGTCGTGTTTTTCAGCTTTTAATTGCTTAATGTTTTCTTCAATTAATTTTTGGAAATTTTGTTTTAAATTTTTAATTTCATTTTCATGTTCAGTCTTAAGTTCTTGAATTACCTAAAAATAATTTAAATTCAGAGTCAACAATATTATTCTGGTGTCCTTCGACACAATTCTACGAGCTCTTTAACTGTGTTTATATATAGGTATTTCAATCTTGCTCGTACTCGACTAAAGTACGAATTTTAGTACAAGCTTATAAACACTACTCTTCTAGATCTAATTGCAAATTAAATTAATTTTCAATCATTACAGATTAAGAAATGCCAATATTGCTTGTAGAACCCGTTAATATGTAAGTAAATGCATATTATATCTACTTACCCTGTTAATTTCTTCCTCCATAGAATCAATTTTATCAACAGTATCAGCTTTTAATTTTTTATTTTCTTCAATTAATTTTTGAAAATTTTGTTTTAAATTCTTAAATTCTTTTTCATGTTGCTTTTGAAGTTTTAAATTACTATTTTCCAAAGCTAAATCGTTAATTTTCAATTTCAACTAAAAATGAATTTATTTTTAAATTGACAAATATAGTCGGATCTCATTTGTACAACAGCTTTATGCAGAAAAATAGATAGTAAAAGTAAAGTGTCGTACAATTGAAACCCGTTCTAGAAACTCAACAAAAAAATAATTCTTAACCTCTAATTTCTCCAAACGTTGTTCTAAACTTTTAATAATTTGTGATGAACAACAAGAAGAGCCACAGGTAGTAGACAAACCATCAATACTTGATGTTTCCAAATTACTACTTTTTCCTGCAAAATTTTCTTCTTCAAGTGTCTCATCTCCAATTTTATTTTTAATATTATCAGAATTTTTTGTAGAAAATGACCATTCTTCTAATTGTTTTGGTGTTCTCATATTTTAAAAATTAATTCTCTAAAAATTAATGAAAACTTTTTTTAAAAATTTTATTTTAATTCTTTTCATGAGGTTAATAAAAAATAAATCGAATCAGTTGGATTTTGGATAATTTTTATTAAAAATTATCTAAAAAAATATAAAATTCACAAAATTTTTATATTTTGTAGATATAAATTTCACAAAAGCTAAATTAGTTTATTGGATTGTTCTTAATCACGATACCGATTTCGGCCAATCCCGGTCCGAGAAGAGATTGGCCGATAAAATTTTGATAAAATTTATGATTTAAAGATAAGGAAATTGATACAAAATAAGAACGTTTAATCAAAATTTTGTCAGAAACTGATGTAAAATAATACATACATGTAAACTCTATTAGCGTATTTCAAAGCTTTTTTAAACATGTAATAACTAAATAAAATTTTGAGTGAATTTTCGGAGGTAATCTCCATTTAATTTTTAAAAAAGAAGTAATTTAAAAGAAATTAACTTTTAGGCAATAGAGTAAACTAATTTAGCCGTGGTGGGGGCTAACTTAAGGAATACCAACTTAAGGAACGACAAATCAAGGAACGACAAGTCAAGGAAAAGACAAGTCAAGGAACGACCAATTCATGGAATATACCAACTCAAGGAACAGACAAGTCAAGGAAAAGACAGGTCAAGGAACGACCAACTCAAGGAATGACCAACTCAAAGAATATTTTAAAAATCAGAATATTTTTAAAACCCAGAATTTTTCAGAATTTTTTTTAAATTCTGTTTTTTAAAGTGTTCTAATCTGTTTTTAAATTCCTATTTTCTAAATATATTCAGATTTTTCAAGAAATTTCGATTTTTAAAATATTCCTTGAGTTGGTCATTCCTTGAGTTGGTTGTTCCTTGACCTGTCTTTTCCTTGACTTGTCTGTTCCTTGAGTTGGTATGTTCCTTGAGTTGGTCGTTCCTTGATTTGTCTTTTCCTTGACTTGTCGTTCCTTGAGTTAGCCCGACACGTTTAGCCCTCTGTGAAATTCACATTTACCCTTTACAAACATTCTTTATAAAAATATATTTAAAATATTCCCTCAAAAATAATTAATTAATTAATCATTTCGCCTCGTTTTCTCAACAAATTGAGAGAGGGCAATTATTATTCACAGCAAATCACTTTCTGGGCAAAAACTCGTAAGTATATAAATATATTTTTTAATATTACTCTTTAAATTCAATTACATTTAATTAGTTTTTGATTTTTTCGAAAAAATTAAAATTTATTTAAATATTCGTGTAGAAGAGTCTCTTTAATTCAAATAAATTTTTAATAAATTTTGAATTTTTTTATTTTAATTAAAAATCCAAAAAAATGACTGAAGAAGGATTGTTATATGTTTGTGGTTTTTGTTCATCAAAAAATGTAATTGAAAGTTTAAAACATCGCATGGAGATATTAGAGGTTAAAATTACTTTTTGTTGAATTTCTCAAGACTGGGGTAATACTTTGGCTGACGCCCCCCCCCTTCTATTTTGAGCTTTTTCTCTTGATATATAATTTATCATTCATCATTCGAAAGAGCTCTTTCAGGTTAAATTTTACCAATATCAGTTAGATTTAATGATTCTGAACAAAATTATGTCACTGAAACCTTGATGGAATAAACATTTTGTGACGTTAGGATTAAATGAGAAAGGAAGGGCGTTAGCCAATATGTAAATTGAAGTTTAAACCAAGCCTAGCAAATTGTACGACAACTTTTTCTCCTGTTTTTTTCAATTCGATGATGTCGTACAAATGAGATACGACCTTAATCTAAAAATATAAATATCTAAATTTTAGTTGAAATTGAAAAATAATGAGCAATCTTTGGAAATCAGCAATTTCAAACATAAAGAGGCTAGATTTTCTTGTTCTATTTTTCGCTTATTATTTTTTAAATATTATTTTTAGGAAATACAAAAAATAAATTCTGAACATGAAAATGAAATTAAAAATTTAAAACAATATTTTCAACGATTAATTGAAGAAAATAATAAAAAATTAAAAGCTGAAAATGATATTTACTTAAAGCAAAAGGATGAGAAAATTAATTTCTTGGAAGAAGAAATTAGAAAGGTAAATGATTTATTAGTTTTTAATAAAAATTCAAAGTTTTTAAAATGTTTGATCAAATAGATCTAATTAGTGAAACTATATTAAAAAGGTTCACTAAATTCAAAATATTTGCAGGTAAAACAAGAAAATGAAAACAAAATTGAAGTAATAACACAAAATTTTCAAAAATTAATTGAAGAGAAATTTCAAAAATTAAAAATTGAAAATGATCTATGTTTAAAAGAAAATGATGAAAAAATTAATTTTTTGGAAGAAGAAATGAAAAAGGTAAATAATTTACATAGTTTGATTTTACTAAAAACTTAATTTAAATAAAACTAACAAAGGCGAAGCTGAGATTTAAAAAGCCAGAGCTACAAAACGTCCAATACCGATCACAAATTTTTAGTTTAGGATACTATTTAATTTTTTATTTAATATTAAAAAAATAAATAGTAAATTTAAATATTTAAATTAAAAAATATTTTTTAAAGTTAATTAAAATCTAATTTTTATAAAAAGGTAAATGATTTGTTTGAGAAAATGATTAGTGATTCAACAATTAAATTAAATAATGAAATTTTTAAATGTGTGGTTAGTTTCTATTATAATTAAATTATTAAATAATTTTAAAAGAATTTTGTTGAAATTAAAAATAAATGGAGTGAAATTGATAGTGAATACAAATGTTGTAACAATAAATGTATAAATACAAACAAACCTATTGGTAATTGTATTATAGGAAATGGATTTGTAAATATAATTGATGATGAAAATATTAATTATATTAATTGTTTGGAATGGGGTAAATTATTGAGGTTTTGAATTCTTAATTCTTTAAGCATTTTTAGGTCATAATAAATATGTTGTAGTTTTAGCAGAAAATTCATTTAAAAAACAACAAAATTGTTTTAATTATTCATTATATTATTTTGAAATTAAATGTAAATTTGAAGTTGATTTAAATGATTATAAATGGATGAGTATTGGTCTAAACAATTGTACAAATAATTATATAGAATTTTCTGCTTCGTTTGCAACGGTTCATAATGAGAAAAATGAAGGTTTTGAACTTGGCAATATTTCTTGGAATAACAATGATATTTTTGGTTGTGGATTAGTTTATCCTCCAACTAATGTGACGGATGCTTTTCCATATGTGTTCTTTACTCATAATGGAAAACAAATTGGTAAATATTTAATTAAAATTATTTTTATAAATGATTATTTTTTAAGGTAAAGCTTGTTTACTAAAGGAGAGGAATATCTCGTATAAACCATTTGTTGAGCTGAAAATTTGTTCTATTGAAGCTAATTTTGGAGATGATTTGGAAACTAAACCATTTACTTATGACATTTCAAAACATTTTATTCTTAAAGAATTTTATTGAATCCTAGCTTGTTAATTAATTTTACTCGTTTTTGAATTTTTCAAGTATGCATATATTTTTATCAATTAAAATTAGAGTTGATCAAAACGATACTGGTATCGGCCAACCCGAGACCGAGATTGACCGATACTCAAGAACCCGATACCGAGACCGATACCATCATTTTGAGCCGAGACCGATACCGAGAAACGATACTGACCGATACTGACAAAAATTTTTTATTTTGTCAAAAATATGTGTAAAAATAATTTATTCATCATTTTCATCATCCAAATCATCAGATAAATACTCTTCATCATCTGGATCCGATCTGGCTTGGCAATGGATACTGATTTTTGTGTCCGTATCCGAATAGGTATATCCGTGAATCCGACATCTGTTTTTGCCCTTAGAACTCAAACTCAATCCGCTCATCACTGCTTCCGATCATTTTAGATCCACTTAAACCACTGGTGGGAACAACAGTTGCCGAAAATTGGAAGGCTCTGTAATCAAAATCTTGAAAATCTAACGGCCGAGGGCTCGGAAAATTCAACATTTCAGCGCCGCAGACGAAATTTATTAAATTTTGAAAGGCAAAGTCACCAAATTTCTTCCTTTTTTAGCGCCGCAGGCGAAAATTTTTTGAATTTTAGAAGACCTTATTCGAAAAAAAATTCACTTTCTCTATTATAAACGGATATCCGAAAAAAATTATGGTCGAAAACTTGGACAATATTGAAAATTGTTTCTTTGAGTCAGTATCGTTTCTCGCCGAGAAATGGACCGAGAATATCGGTATCGGTTTCGAGACCGAGAATGAAAAAACCGAGACCGATATTGGAAAAAAGCCGAGACTCTCGGTATCGGTCTCGGTCTCGTCTTGATCAACTCTAATTAAAATAAACAGTTTTTTTATGTTTCAAATAAATAACTCTCTTTATTATTAAATTATTGAAATAATTATTTTGAATTCAAAACAGATTTATTTTAATTTGATTTTAAAAATGATAAGTAAAAGTCGGTTTTGTATGTCTCAATTGTACTGCATTAGTTACAATCGTACTGCTCGCCTTAAAAGTTTGCTTTATGAAAATAATTAAAAAATTATATTCGATTTGATATTTTTGATTGAATTCATTTTCGTGTTTCAAATATTTTATGTTTCGAAACAGCTCTAATGCCCGCCCATTATTACTAAACATTATCTACCTAAACAATTTGGCACGCGCCTGTTTACTTTTTTGACCACACCCCATTTTCTCTTTCTTCTAACCTCATACTTTTCCTTTAATTGCACACAAATTCATTAATTTAGCTTTGATTATTTCCATTAAGCAAATAATGGTTACTTTTATACTCAAAAATAAAATAAATAATCAAAGACAACATTTTCCTTTTAGTCCCTAAAAAGTTCATAGATACATACTTTCGCGTAGATATTTTATAGATAGCGATAGATTCTAAGCGATAAGTACCCATCTCTGCAATTTAGAAGATAGGACAGTATTGTGGGAATAAATGTGAACTCACACCCATTGCTGACTATTTTTAGGTGTGTTTCTAAGTCTAACTGAAGCATAATACATATTATTCGCTTAGGATACAGATAGTTAAATATTTTACTTTTTAAATTTTGTTTCTTTCATATATTTTAATTAAAAATTCGTATAAAATGACTGAAGAAGGAGCATCAAATTTTGAGCTAAAAAATGATTTAATAAATCTTCGAACTAATTTTAATGATCTTCAAATAAAATTTATTGAAGAGAAGGAAAAAACTTTCAATCTTGAAAAGAAAAATTTTTTTCTTGAAAATGAATTGAAGGAAATGGATAAAGTTTGGATTTATTTTTGAATATTTTTTTAAAAATAATTTTAGAAAATTCAAAAAATAAATTCGGACAATGAAAATAAATCTGAAGAATTAAAACAATTAATTGAAGAAAGTAATAAGAAAATTAATAATATTGAGGAATGGATTAAAAAGGTAAATAAAAATATTAAATCTTTTAATATTTTTATTCTTTTTAAGGGAGAAGACTGTGATGATTTTATGGAAGAAATGGACAAACAGGACGAGCGAATTTCGCAAATGCTTGATAAAATGAATAAAAATAGAAGTTGATTTAAATTAAATTATTTTTTGAATTTTATAAATTTAAATGTGGTCTAGAAATATAATTATTTTTTTAATCATTTCTGATTAAAAACTAAAACAATTTAAATACGTATTATTATGTGACAAGACTGAAAATTATACTTTTTAGACCACAATTTTTTTATTCGGATTTTTAAATACTCACGCCAATAGTTTTAAAGAATTGTTTTTTTTGTTTTTTCTTTTTGTTTTATAAAAGAAATTAAAAATTTGTTGACAATTTGAATTTTTAAATTGGTACTTTATGGATATGTCACCCCCCCTCCTATTTTGAGTCTCAGAGTTTTCTTTATACGTAGAAAATGGTCAGAGATTATTTTCTTCTCCTTGTCATTCATGTTTTTCTTCAAGCAAAATAAGTGAGATGTGGAAACGAATTGAGTGAAATGTAAGTACAAATTTCTAAAATAGTATGTGAAAAGGCACAATAAACAAGCAAAATACTTGAAGAAGAAAAAAATGATTGACACGGAGAAGAAAATAATCTCTGACCATTTTCTACGCATAAGGAAAACTCTGAGACTCAAAATAGGAGGGGGGGGGGGTGACATATCCATAAAGTACCTTTAAATTCTTGTAAGTGATGTTTCTAAAAAAGAAAAAATAGTAAAAGAAATTTCAACTTTTTTAAAGTTTTGTAATTCCCTTATTATTCTCAACTAACGACATGTTTTTGAAAGAAATATTTTTTTGATAAGGAATTACTTGAGTAAATTTTAGAAGCGAGAAATAAGGGAAATAGATAAAATTTTAAAGATAATACAAAAAACCCGAATGCAAAATCACTAAAAATTCTGCATTAAAGAAATTTTGAAAAAAAAAATTTTGGGAGGAAAGAAAAAAGAGATAATAAAGTTTAAAAAATATATTTTAATTCTTTCGATGATTTAAAGAAAAACTTAATAAATTAGCAAAATTTTAAATAATTTTTAAATTAACTAATCAGGATTCGTTGAAATATATCCTAATTAAATTGATAATATCTTTTTACATAATTTAAAAATAAAATTTAAAAAATTCATTCTAAGACAAAAATTAAAAACATACAAATTATTGTTTTATGGAATTTGTTAAAAGTTTAAGTTAAATTTCGTAAAAAATAAAAATAATTTTTCTTAAACAAAATGTAAATTTAATGGAAGAATTTAAATTTAATTTTAAAAATATAAAAAAATATAAATGGCCGTTTTATGTATCTGAAAGTTATAAAGAAATATGTAAAAGATTGATGATTTAAATTAATGAAAAGTAATCAGAAAACAAAATTAATCAAAATATTTCAATAAAATTCTTTAAGAATTGAATGTTTTGAGATGTCATAAGTAAATGGATTAGTTTGCAAATCATTTCCAAAGTTTGCATCAACAGAACAACTTTTCAACCAAACACGTGGTTTGAATAAATCAGAATTGTCTTTCAATAATATACCCTTACCTTTAAAAAATAAATTTTATAAAAATAATTTTTTATTAGATATTTATTTACCAATTTGTTTTCCATTTTGAGTAAAGAAAACATAAGGGAATTTTTCATTTAATTTGTTACTTGGAGGATAAACTAATCCACAACCAAAAATATCGTTGTTATTCAAAAAAACATTGTTAATTTCAAATTTTTCATCTTTCTCGTTATATATCTTAGCCAATGTTGCAGAAAATGTAATCATTTCATTTGTATTACAATTTTTAATACCAATACTTATATATTTTCCAACATTATTTACTAACTCTCCTTCAATTTTACATTTAATTTCAAAATAATATAAAGAATAATCGAGACAATTTTTTGGTTTTTTGAATGAATTTTCAGCATAAACCCGAATATCATTATTACACCCTAAAAATATTGTTAAAAAAATTCCAAAAATTATAGATAATTTACCACCATTCTTCACCAAATATTTAATATTTTCATCATCAATTAAATTTCCAAATCCATTTCCTTTAATACAACTACCAATAGGTTTGTATGTATTTATACAATTATTATCACAACATGTTTTTAAACTGTCAATTTCACTCCATTTATTATTAATTTTGACAAAATTCTTTAAAAAAATTATTTTAATAATTCAATTATAATTACAAACTAACCACACATTTACAATATATATTATTCAATTCAATTGCTAAATTTCCAATCTTTTTCTCAAGTAATTCATTTACCTTTTTATAAAAAATGTATTTTAGTTTTATTTAAATTTAGTTTTTAGTATAAACTTAATTACATTTTTAATTTCTTCCTTCACAGAATTAATTTTTTCATCTTTACTAGCATTTTCAGCTTTTAATTGATTAATATTTTCTTCAATTAATTTTTTAGAATTTTGATTTGTTTCTCCAATTTTATTTTCAATGTCACAATTTATCTTTTGAATTTTCTAAAATTATTTTAAAAAATTATAAACGAAATAATAAATTCTAATAAAGTCCGTATTTTTTATAAAAATACTTAGGGTCTCTCAAAATAATGTTCATAGAGCAAGGAGTTTCATATTTTTCTTTGCATAAATAACTTTTCTAAGCTTAATTTTGTTTTAAAAATTATATATACATATATGTTTATATAATATATGTTTTTGGCACTCTAAAATTCTTTAAATTTTTCCTCTGACCATTAAAAAGTGAATTTTTTCGCCTACGACCAAAAATATATGATAATCAAACAAAACTTAACTGTACAGCCTCAATAGGCCCTGATATGGAGTTTAATAATTAAATAATTTTTTACCTTATTAAATTCTTCCTCCAAAAATTTAATATTATCACCATTTTGTTTGAGATAATCATTACTTTCACTACATAATTGTTTAATATTTTGTTTGATTTCTTCAATTTTATTTTCATTGTCAGCAGTTATCTTTAATTTAAAATTATATTTGGTAATACTTTGATTCATATGTATATGCTTTTTTTGCTTATTTTCCTGTTTGTGTTTTTTTATTTAAGGGAAGAGCTCTTAAGGGAAGAGCTCTTTGTGTTTTTTTATTTAGGGGAAGAGCTCTTAAAAATGAGTCGAATGACACCAAGAGTAGTTAGGTTTGATGATTTTGAAAAACAGTTGAAGCTGAATCTTGGCTTTATCTCGAGACAATATATACAAGGGATTAAAATAAATGACCATAACATTATAAATCATAGCTTGTTAATTTTAGTGTCATTCAACTCAAACAAGGCCATAAACTTGAAAAAAACGTGGATTCCAAGAACGAAGATCACAAACCCGTGGAGATATCAAATCTTTTCAATGGATGCATAAAATGTAATTAATTTACCCTTTTATTTTCTTCTTTCAAAAAATTAATTTTTTCATCTTTTAGCTTTAAGTTTTGCTTCATTTCTTCAATTTCATTTTTATAGTCAAAATTAATTTTTTCAATTTTCTGAAATTATTTTCAAAAAAATATTTAACAAAAATCCCCACAAACTTTATTCATTTCCTTCAATTCATTTTCAAGAAGGCAATTTTTCTTTTCCAAATTATCAGTCTTTTCCTTCTCTTCAATAACAAAATTATTAAAATTAGTTTGAAGTTTTATTAAATCATTGCTTAATTTCAAAACCAAAGTCCAATCAGAATTTAGTGATAATCCTTCTTCATTCATTTTTTGTAGAGAATCTTTTATTAAAAAATATTTTAAAAGAAAAATAAAAGAATTTTTATTTCAAAAAAGAAACTAAAAAGAAAAATATATTTTAAATTTACAAAATTGGTATAGTGATGGACAAAACGATAATAGGTGACAAGCGTACGTGATCCCGGGAATGCGATTTTGCCGCACTCTAATACATATTAAATAAATTAAAATAAATAAATTTTTTAAAAAAAATTAAATGTTTTATGGAGAGCTTTTAAACTTATAATAAAGTTAATTGAATAAAAAAATAATATATTGAAGGATTTTGCCCAGAGAAATTTTGTGAGAATAAATAAATACGTGTATGTTGAGAAAAGGAGGAATGAAAAATTTTAATTTTTTATTTGTTGAGGGAAGATTTTGAATAAATTTTTGCCTAAAAATATAATACAATTTAAAATATTCCTTTAGAATATTGATATACCTAATTATGTTAAGACTTACATAAAACATTTTGATCAACACTATTTTTACTTTTTATTTCTTTAAAAGTTTAAATTTTTTGCAAAAATTTTTAGGTTTAATAGATCTGTTTTAGTTTATGCAATTAATTCATTCAGCGAGCCAAAAAATTGCTTTAATTATTATTTTTATTATTTTGAAGTTAAATGTATAAATTTAAAATATTCCCTCAACAAATAAATTAATCCTTTTTACTTCTGGTTTTCCCAACATAATTCACACCAAAACAGTTTTTGGGCAAAATACTCTTTAGTATACTATAAATAATCTATTTATTTTAATAGTTTTTATTTACCTTTTACATATAATAAAAATAAGTTTAAACTCTCTCAATAAAATTTTTTCTGGTTAAGAGAAATTAATTAATTTTTTGGTAAATTCTTTAAATTTTATAAAACAAATACCTACTCCAAGTTTATTTTCAATTATTTTTTGGAAAAGAATTGTTTTTTAATTTATTTTATAAAAATATAAAATATTGATCAAGTAAAATTCTCTTAATTTAAGATTATTTTAACAAAAAATATTTTGTTTTTCTTTAAAATATTTTAATTAAATCTACAAAATGACTGAAGAATTATCAAATTCTAATTTGGAATTAAATGTAATTTTAAAAATAAAATTATAATTAATTAATTATTTAAGCTATATAAACAAAACAATGATTTGATTAAATTAGAAACTAATCTTCAAATAAAGTTTGTAGAAGAGAAGGCTTTTAATCTTGAAAAGAAAAATTTTTTACTTGAAAATGAACTGAAGGAAATGAATAAAGTTTGGATTTATTTTTGAATATTTTTTTAAATAATTTTAGAAAATTCAAAAAATAAATTCTGACCACAAAAATGAAATTGAAGAAATAAAACGAAATTTACAGAAATTAATCGAAGATAATAATCAAAAAGATGAGAAAATTAATTCTTTGGAGGAAGAAAATAAAAAGGTAAATTAGTTTTTTGTTAAAAACAACAAAAAATTTAAAAATTGAACAAATTTTGCATAAATACATATTGGTAATTGTACTATAGGAAATAGATTGCGAAATATAAGTGGTCGCTTTAGTATAAGTTCACCGAGATCGAAAACCAATTGTATTCTATTCGATTCCTCTCGCCGAGCTTCGGCCAAATATAAAAAATTTTTGCGACGAAAACACAGAGATATAGGCCCCAGAAAATCGAAAAACCATAGTAGGAATCAAGTTGTTTTTTGGGTAAAAAATTCGATTATACAAAGTCGTTCCGCTCTACGTGGCCGGCTTCCTCCGCAGTGGCAAAGACTTTTTTCCGCGTAGATCCTACTAGGGGATAAGAACAAACGGTCATAACTTTGCCAGATTTCTTCGATTTTGGTGGTATTTGACTCAGCTCGACGAGCTATATAATAAATCTATATTAAGAAAAAAAGCTCAAATGGTCAGTGAAATAGGGGGAAAAAGTAGGGCGACTTCCAAAGTTTCAACTTTTTTACTAAATATTATAATGTTCTTATAATATAATTAATTTAAAAAATTTTAATTTATAAAAAGGCAAATAACTTAATCGAAAAGAAAATTGATGACATAATTAAATTAAATAATTTGTATTGTGTGGTTAGTTTATAATTATATCCAAAAAATAATTTTTTAAAAGAATTTTGTTAAACTTGAAAATAAATGGAGTGAAATTGATAGTGGACGTAGTAAATGTTGTGGAAATAATTGTATAAATACAAACAAACCTATTGGGAATTGTATTAATGGAAATGGATTTGTTAATATAATTGACGGTGAAAATATTAAATATTTGGTGAAGAATGGTGGTAAATTATTTAACTTTGTATTTTAATTTTTTCTTAAAATTTTTAGGTTGTAATAAACATGTTGTTATTTTTGTAGAAAATGCATTTAAAAAACTAGATTATTGTCTCAATTATTCTTTATATTATTTTGAAGTTAAATGTAAATTCAAGGGAGAGTTAGATAAAGGTATAACTTGGATGGATATTGGTCTTAAAAATTGTAGTACAAATGAATATGTTGCATTTGATGCAGAGGAAGTTACGATTTATACCGAGAAAGATCAACAATTTCGTTTTTCAACACATTCGTGGAATAATAATGATATTTTTGGTTGTGGATTAGTTTATCCACCAACTAATATGATGAATGAATTTCCTTATGTTTTCTTTACAAAAAATGGAAAACAAATTGGTAAATATTTATCTGATAGTTAAATTTTTTATTTAAAAATTATTTAAGGTAAGGGTACATTATTAAAGCAGAAATGTGACTCATATAAACCATATGTTGATATGAGCTGTTTTTCTATTGAAGGAAACTTTGGAAATAATTTGGCGACTAAACCATTTAAATATGACATTTTAAAACATTTAATTCTTAAGGAATTTTATTAAACATTTTTTGATTAATCTTATTGTAATTTCTTTTGTATTTTAAAATAACCAATTTTTTGAAATTTTAAATAATTTTTTTTCTTTGATTTGTTAAATGAAAAACTTAATGTAATTTTAAATGAAACCATCTCTTCAACTTCTGCGCCGCGAGCGAAAATTTTGGAAAATTCATGACTAAATAAAATTTTGAACGTTTATGTATCATGTTTAATTTTTAAAACATTTTTAAAAAAATATCTTTAAAAAACATTTTTCCACGCAAAATCATCAGACCTTAAAGGCCTACTCCACTTATATCAACTCAATTTTTACTTGTAGAATTAAAGTGGATAAAGATGAATTTGGGCAGATTAGGCGGGTGCCGGAATTTTGGTCACTGGAATTCTGGTCACCAAGGATTTTCGGAACTTTGGTCACCAACTTTTTTGGAATTTTGGTCACTAGCGGAATTTTGGTCACCAAGTCAAAAAACGGAATATTGGGCATTGAAATTTTGGTCACCAAGAGGAATTTTGGTCACCAAACTGGAAAAAGAAATCTTACCTAGAACTGATATCAAAGTGATAAAAAATGATTTTTCAACCCTCAATTGATCAATTTCAATGTTAATCACTTTCACGGTTAATCAATCTTCCGGGAGAGTGATTGAGAGTGATCACCCGAGAGAGTTATCAGCCGGAAGGGTGATAAACATTGAAATTGATCAACTGGGGGTTGAAAAATCATTTTTTATCACTTAGATTTCAGTTCTAGGTAAGATTTGTTTTTCCTGTTTGGTGACCAAAATTCCTCTTGGTGAACAAAATTCAGTGCCCAATATTCCGTTTTTTGACTTGGTGACCAAAATTCCGCTGGTGACCAAAATTCCGAAAAAGTTGGTGACCAAAGTTCCGAAAAATCGCGGTGACCAAAATTCCGGTAACAAAAATTCCGTACACCGTGGTATAACTTTGCCAAACAAGTTAGATCGCGTTGACAAGGAAATAAATAATTTATAATAACTTTATAATACCAAAAATACGCCTTTACATATTTAAATAATTTTTAATTATTTAAATTCTAACGTTGGATAAAAAGTCCAGAAAAGGAATGCCTTAGTAAGAAAAGGAAAGTTTTACTAAATATCTTAGTAAAAATCCAACTTGATTTTAATTTTGCTTGAAAAACAGCTGATTAAAGTCTTATAAATAAGAGAATAATCCGAACATAATAAACATAAATATTTTTAAATTCTAATCTTAAAACCCCGCCAAAATACTAAAATAAAAATGTATTCTTCAACTCTTTGCTTTTTATCCATAGTTGCTTTAATTACACAAATTGTGGATTTGGCACCTCCACCTGCTCCTGTTGTTGCTATTGATCAGGTATTTTATAATTAGATATGGGGCCATGCATTTACGGAAATAATATAAGCTACCTCATGGCATTCACTCTAGGTACTTCCCAAAATTACACAAGTACTCTCCCTAAGTATTTCAGTAATTCCCGAAGATATGGGCCAGATCTAATATCGATATCATAAATTTATTTTAAGCCAAAACAATTTCGTGTTAAAAGAGCAAGAAGATGCTACAATTACAACATTCGCACTCAACAATGTAAAAATCCGCGTTGCCCAAGATGTCCAGCTACTTCTTCAATTTCATCAAAAAATCCAAACATTGCTACTTGTTGTTATTAAGAAGGATTTTCTAATTTTTGTGAAAGAATAAAAAGCTCTAACTATAAGTTAATTCACAATAGTTAGCTAATGTTAAAGAAAATATGAATTTTTAATTAAATAAAAAGTGTATTTTTTAGCAAACATATTGCAACAGTTTTATGGAAATTTTTTATGTCCGAGCTTTAATGTAGAAAACTAGATTCTTAGACAAACTAAAAGTTGTTCCAACTCAATACTTTTGTATTAGATTCATCTCTCAGATTTACTGAACTAAAACCCTATATAGATAATATAAATTTATTTATAAAAAAGCTTTAAAGCGCCGCAGGCAAAAATTCTGCGAATTTAGAAGGCAAAGAAGATATTTGGCCAAGAAGCCAAATTCCTTAAATTTTAAAACAAAATATGGAATCCAAAAAAGTTCAACTCTTAATGGTGGAAATATATAAATGCTCAAAAAAGTTGAGACCAAGACAATGATTACACCCCAAACCAAAACCGAAAAAAAACTCAAAAAAGTCTTGAGTCAAGGGCTCAAAAACCAAGAGTCATGGACATACATATCTAATTGAAAGGTTCTAAATATTAGTGAGCAAGCTGATCTGGATCCAGACCTTGATTTTTTCATGATCCAGAGCCCAGAACATGGCACTTTTCAGTGTTTATTGATTTTTTCTTGACCTTGATTTTTCTTTAATTCAGGTTCTCAATGACCTTGAGAACTCTCGTCCAAAAATGGTCCCAGCAAGTGTCCGATACCTTTTGTTTATGACACTAGCCCTACATCATCAAAATTAAGTTAGACCTCGCATGATAGCCTGACATGCAATTTTGCGGTGTAGTTCCCAACAGCCACGGTAATTCCAGCTCTGTAGTGGTCTTCTCTTACAATGTATTTCCCAAAGTAAAATATTTTTAAAGATAATGTAGAAAAATAGTGAGTAATTATTAGATAGGATAATTATTTCAACATTTACGGTATTAAATATTTTATGTAGAACGATGATAATACAATAATGAAAAATAATTTTAATAAAATACATTTATTTGAAGTATTTATTTTTTAAATATCTCTTTATCATAAAGTATACTTTTTGTTTTAAATTAGTAAATCAATAATTTTTCTTTAAAATTTTAAATTAAACGTCTAGATTAAATTTTAAGAAATTAGCTGGATGGAAAAAATAATTAAAGGATTCCAGCAACTTTATTTATTTATCCAAGCATACTATCCATACTCCCAATAGAATGTGAAAGTTTGTTATGAATAATTTTAAACAGATTTTTTGTGTCATTTCTAACTGTTTTGTTTAATAATAAATAAACAACCGGTGGGGCTCCTTTAAAAAATTAATTTTAAAATTTTAATATAATTTTCGCCTCTTCCCATCTGGCTTTTTTTAACAAAATAATTTTTAAAGTTTATTTAAGCTTTTTTTTAAATTATATTTTGTTTTGGCACTTCAGTGATTATTTAAACTGTGTACTGAGTTTTGAATAAGTAGTATTTACAAATACAAGATATTATATTATTTTTATATATTTTACTTCTTCATACTTATTTACAATTAATTTTTGTATTATTTTTATTTGTATTTTTTAGTAAATAAATACTCTTGCTTAGTAAATAAATAAAATTACCGTGAACGTGTAACCTTAAAACAAAAGAATAAATTTTTAAATTTATTTTTAATTTTACCACGAAAAGTATGCTACCATTTGAATAAGAAACCCGCTATCTGGATTTTTAAAAATATAAACTTGAAGCATTCCGGTACTTGAATTAAACATTGAAATGATAAATACTTGAATAAACACCTTTAAAAAAATTTAATTGTACTTGCTCGATTAACTAATCTCTTGTTGGTTAATTTGGGAAATACAGAGGAGCAATCCAAAGTACCGCCAGCCAATATACCAGGGCTGGGCGATACCAGGGCTCCGCATTTCGCTTTTTATTTTTTGATTTCGCCCAGCCCTGCAATATACCGACAAGCAATAATTCGTTCATAATTATCTAATCCAAGAATCTGGTATGATTCGATTCAGCTCGTTGTCTTGCATCGAACCATACGTGGCGCCCCGGATTCGCCAATCTTGAACGATGTTATAGCACGGATGTAAATTGACCTCGCTGTACTTTGGTATTCACCCGTAACTACAGTAGACAGGGTATTAAAAAATCAAAAATACGAAAATCCTACCAATGGAAATGGTAAAAGTTATTAAAAAGCTAATCTTTGCATTTTTATTAAATAAAACTCTAACCATTATTTCTTCTTTTGTAATTTTATCAGATAATGCCCGAAATTTAAAAATTAAGCAAATTATAAATAAAATATAAATTATTGGAGAGCCTATAGCTAATATATAATTATGTACTGTTAATTGAAATAAATCTTGTTCGAACTATAAAATAAATAAATATTAATTAATTTATTTATTTAAAATTACTAATTCAATTCTGAAAGGTTTATATTCAATTAATGGATCATAATAAAATGCAAAACTTATTCCATTAAAAATATAAGTATGTCTAAATAAAAACCAATAAAGTCCATATAAACTACAAAAAATAAGCCAAATATAAACACGATTATTGTGAAAAAGCTTTTTTGAAATATTTGGAAATGCAATTTCTAAACAACGATTTATTCCCAAAATCTAAAAAAATAAAACTAAAATTATTAATTAATTTTTATATTTTATAGTTTTATTTGCTGCCGGATCTAACCCGGTTTCGCCCGTTATCCAGTTGAATCCCCTGATATCTCCGTCATATCTATAAATCTGTTGATATTCACCTAATCTTCCGATAACTCCTCAACTCCACTAACAAATTCTGTAATTATTTAAATCCCCTTAATTCCTCCAAATCCATTGATATCCCCGTTATCACATAAAATTATGATGGGACTTCAAATTAGGAATGGGGAAGGAAGTTGCTGAGAATTCAGGGAACAGAGGTCGAATCCTACTTTAAAGTCACTCATATCCCTTAGTTCATTTTTTTCCATATTTAGGGAAAAAATCATAACTTTTTTTTATAATGGAGGTAAAAATTTTATTTTTTTGCTAAAATATAAATTGGATTAAATAACCCAACTTATATAGAAAGAATCCTCTAAATTTGGGTAAAATTTTATTTAAAAATTTAATTAATTTAAAGAACCAAGTCTGCAGAACATTCGGGAGGCCATAACACTGAAACATAAAAAATTTTTTTTACAAAACAACTCAATTTTATTTTAGAAAATAGTGAAATATTCATGTGATTATTATTTCACACATGTGATTATTACTATTCCTAACTGATTATACATAATATGCTAATAGTGTAGTTTGAGTGTGACAATACTATTCCCTACTTCTTCCTTTTTGAAGAACCTAATGTAAGTGGATTATACTCTGTATTTTGGGTTATACGTCATACTTTCCTAACAAATAATGAGTGAACACACAATAGCTAACTCGATAAGAAGTATGCTCGAAAGTGCTCGTTGTGCCCGACTCGATAAAAACAATACCCAAAAAATGCCTCAACCGTAGAGCCGACTATAAAACGGCAACCCTATTATTACCTAACCTACAATATTTAATCATAAAATTTAAAACATACATAAAACCTCAGAACCAACAAAATACGTTAAAAAAGGGGAAGAGCAATAGACAACCCCATTTAGACTAAAAATTCCAACAGCAAAAGTTGGCACCCAAAGTATACAAATATCCATTAATGAAAGATAAATTAAAAGTATATAACAAGGATTTTTTGTTCTATTTTTCCAAAAAGAGTAAAGACAAGGAAAATATAAAGGCTTAAAAATAATTTAAAAAAATTAAATTTAAATAAAATAGTACATAATATATAGATCCAAGTAATATACAAATAATTGCAGTTATTGGATATCTTCTTTTTTCAATTGGAATATCATCAACATTAATTCCCGTACAATTATAAATTTTATCAAAATTTTCACGATTCCATAATATAAATTCCATTTTATATTTTTAAAAGTATTCGAAGAGAGTAGCTAAAATAAATATCTTAAAACAGGGCTCCGATCGACAAAATGCCATCTTTTTTTATTAATCTTCTTGTTTCCATTGAGCATTTTGTGCATTTAAATGAACTTTTGTGGCGCCGAAGGCGCCACAAAAGCCTTCTATTTTTTGCGCCGCAGGCAAAATTTTGAAAATTTTGGAAGTCCTTAAGCCAGATTTCTTCCCATGTTGATTTAAAAGTACATACTTTCAAAAAAGTACAAATTCAATTCCGTAAGTACGGAGGTCAATTTAAAAGTATAATAGTACTTTAAAAAAAGTACGAATCGGAGCGCTGTCGCAAAAAAAATACCAAAGTTTTTAATTTTTATATAAAAAATAATTTAAAAAATGTATATAATAATTGTTGCACTTTATGATTGACTTAATTTATATCGCGTGTTTAAATTTTTACATATCTTGTTAAATAAAGCAATTAGTTTGGTTTTAGTTAAATAATAAGAAGGTAAAATTTAAAAAATTGTTTTTATTTGTATTTTTGCGTGTCTGGCTAATGTATCTTTGAATAAATTTTTCAAGAAACTAAAGTAAATTTAAAAAATCAAATAGAATTAAAACAGCAACAAATAATTATCAAAAGACAATCAAAAAAATTAAAAATCATTAAAATTTAATTTTTAAATAGGTATAAGTAAATTTTTTATTTTGATAAATTCTTATTAAGATTTTAGTTTATTTTTTTATTTATTTCTTAGAATAGATTATTGCAACTAATAAATTAATATTTACGAAATTTCTTCTAATAATGCGACCGGTCGGTTTATTTTTCAACCATTTCTAGAGGGTCGGTTTAATAGAAGGGGTCGTCTACTAGAAGAAATACGGTAATTTATTTTTATAATAACTTTTAAAAATAATAAAATTATTAAAGCTTGTTAAAAAAAGCTTGTTAAAGCTTGTTAAAAAATATATTTATTCAAATGTAAAAAATTAATAGGTAATTTAAAGTAACAATATATTAAACACAAAAAGAAGTCATTAAATAAATTTTTTAATTGGTTATGAATGAATGATTAAATTTGAAAGTATCTTTGTTATTATTACAGTGTCTTAGACATAATGTACTTAAAAATTATAAAAATAATTTTTACGCCCTAATTATTTTACTTCTTTTAAAAATTCAAAATTTTAATTTCATAATTACGTAAATTTGTAAACCTAAATATTAAATATTTTATAATTTTCAAATTTTAATAAATTTTTTATTCTCAAACACTTTTAATAATTTTATTATTAAATATTACAGTCATCGACATAAAGATAGGGGCAGAGTAACTGAAATGAAAATTAACACTTTTCTCAGTCAAAAAATACGTTATATATAAAGTTGAAAGCTCTATTTGTATCTCAGTTGACATGTTTCTGCATTTTTCATGAAAATTGGCCGAGATATCCGGATTAAGCCGGATATCCCAAATCCTATACCCGCGGAAAAATTTTTCGGAAAATATTTGTAAATTGAATTCAATAAAGCATATTTTTGTGAGTATTTACCACAAAACCGCTTAGAAATACCTTTTTACGGACCAGAGATAATTTTTTGAAAATGGCATTATTCGCCTATTTTTGGTAAAAATCCAATTTTTAAGGGAAAAATGCCATTTTCAAAAAATCATATTTCTAGACCGGAAAAAGATATTTCTAAGCGGTTTTGTGTTAAAAACTCACAAAAATATGCTTTACTTTTAAATATTTTATTATTAAATATTATATTTAAAATTAGAAATATAAAAATGTCAAATTCATCATTTAATTTAATTTTATCAAATAACACCACAACTAGTCCTAGTATTATTTCAACATCCCCAGCAGTTAGATTATACTGGATAAACACTTCTAAACCATTTCAAATAATTTATGTATTTATTGTTATGATACCGTTAATTATAGCTCAGTTGATTATACTTATTTTACTCTCAAAACTTATTTTCTTAGTTAAAAGGTTCTTCAAAATTAAAATTGGAAAATATTTATTAAAATTTTCTTTAAAAAGATTTTAAAAAATTGGGCCCTAATCAAGTTTTCGAATGAACTTTTATAAGTCCTATGGAATTTTTATGCGTCAATAAATGTTTTATCAATAATTTCGATTTTTAAAATTATTTTCTAACATCGAACATTGAATATCACAGCAAAACTGATTAGCCGTAAAAGTTCGCTGTCTCATCTATGACCAGATTTCATAGGACTTATATATGGTGTGTAACATAATTATAAGGCACCCCAAATTTTTTCCATATTACCAGTATTTCTTATGCATATCAACTATTGATTTTTATACATTAATTTAAATCTCTGTAAAATGTTATTTCCTAAGTTTTATAATTTTTTGTTGAGTTTAAATTTTTTTATGACGCTTTTTTTCAAAAATAGGTGTAACAAAATTATAAGGCACCCTAACATTTTTCGATTTATTTAAGCAATATCTTAATTCGAAAACAAACAACTTAAAAATAACAAAAGTATTTCAATATTTTGTGATATTTCCATGCATTTTTAATGTTTCAACATTCGATTTTGCAATCTCCCTATCAAATTAGCAAGCATTTGATTAGTAATTCTATTCCATGCGCTTTGAATTGCAATTTTCAGGTCCCTAACATTCTCAAATTGGCGGCAATCAGCGTATACATCACGGACAAGAATCCCCCAAAGATTCTCAATGGGGTTGAGGTCCGGACTTCTGGCTGGCCAGGCCATAGTCTCGATGTTATGAGCAGCAAACCATTGTTTCGAGGAGCTCGAAACATGTATTGCTGCATTGTCCTGCTGAAAGACAAAATCTATTTCGGGCCAAAGCTCCATCATTGGGATCAGAAAATTTTCTAGCATTGTTTGGTATCCTTCGCTATTCATCCGACCATTTATAAACGCGATTTCAGACTTGCCTTTCACACAAAAGTCAGCCCACACCATCACGTTTCCCACACCCATTTGGCGTTTGCTAAAGTATCGGGCTTCTTTCGGAGATCACGCCAATAATTGTTCATCGAGTCGGGTCCGTCAAGATTAAACTTTTTCTCGTCAGAAAATATGACCTGCAAGAAGAAAACCAAGATGAGAGACTACAATAAATGAACCTTTCGCAGAGAGGGTAAGGAACTTTTAATTCAGCAAATGCTAATCTGGCGGCTTTATGTTCATCTGTGAGTTTAGGTCGCTTTTGCATCTTTTGGCGCACAATGTGAGAAGATGATTTGAGGACTCTCCAGACAGTTTCGTGTGAAACATCAGGTGCATGTTCTTTCTGCAGCTTACGGACCCCTTTGGTTGAGTTGCCAACTTTACGTAAAATTCTTCGCTTAATGCGAGCATCAAGTTTTTGCTTTCGTCCCTGACCTTTATTATCTTATATGACCTCTATATAGAAAAATCTACCTTTGTTTTTTCCATATTCATCACCTTTCATTAAAAAATTTTGCACAACACAACAACTACGACCAATACTCAAAGCAATTTCTTTTTGGGAAGAACCAGAAGCGGAAAATGCTCTGATTTGACCTTTTTCGAATTCTGTCAACACTTTTCCTTTTGAAATTTTAATTACGAGAGAATATTAATGCTATAAAATCTAAATAAATCGAAAAATGTTAGGGTGCCTTATAATTTTGTTACACCTATTTTTGAAAAAAAGCGTCATAAAAAATTTAAACTCAACAAAAAATTATAAAACTTAGGAAATAACATTTTACAGAGATTTAAATTAATGTATAAAAATCAATAGTTGATATGCATAAGAAATACTGGTAATATGGAAAAAATTTGGGGTACCTTATAATTTTGTTACACACCATATATTTCTTAGGACTTATACATAAAAGTTTTTTGGTCTCATAACTTGAATAGAGCTTAACTTTGTTTTAAGTAAACCTTTTGCATTTAAATTGAATTTTTCAATGTGGACATATTTTTTGTTTCATTTGTTCTGCACTTTTACTTGTTTGGCCTATCCAATTTGTGAATTTATTCGTTGGAAATCCCTTGACGAAACAATACGTACCTTTGATTTGCGCTCACCAGAAGAACAAATTGTGCTATTTTGGACAGGAATATGGCAATTAAATTATTTTGCATGTGCCCCAATTGCAACTTTTATTCTTATGTTGGATCGTTGTTTGATTCTTTGGTCTACCGCTATAAATTTTAATAAATACTTTGAAACACTATTTAAATGGATGGGACCTTGTTGTTTGATACTTTGCTACTTAATAAGTTTAATACTTTATTTGAATGAACTTCCATTAAATACAAGTAATTAAAATTTTAAATGTGATTTAAGCTATAAAATATTGTTGAATTCGCTTAATCAAATAAACAATTTGCATGTTCACATGCAAGTATAAAGTTGGCCTTTTTCTAAATATAAAGGTCTCCCGACATTCCCAACCAATTCTTGACTCTTATCTTAATTTTGTTATTCACTTTCTTTTTATATTTTGACCCTAAATTGTCTCTATAAATACCCCATCCTTCTTCTCATTATCAGATTTGGCCTAACTAATCCTCTCCCTTATTATTGTATCCCATATTTATATGGAGAATAAATGAATAAATAGAATAAATATTCAATTAATGTAATTCAGTCTAATAGAAGTCCCCAAAATAGTAGAATCCAAGCTAAGCTATATAACATCAAATACAGCAAATATATTAAAGAACATTATTACTTAAATTATACTATGAACTAATTTTATTGTAAAAGAAATCTTGATCCTGTACTATGTATAGATTGTATCCTATTTCTTAATATCCTATTTCTTAATTCAAGCTAAATTATTAAAGATTAAAGCTCTCCCAAAAAGATAACTAGACAACAATCTAATTAATCAGATTCCATTATATACATATAATAAAGTTTTGAATTTATTAAATTATTTTAGTCTCATTAGACTAAACTCGAAAAGCACTTTCGAATAAACTATCAATAAAAAGAAAAA